TAGCAGTCTCCTCCTGTGTGATTTACTGCCTGTGAAAATTCACTGGAGGGTCAGCTAGAAGTCAGATCTGATGGTACATAACATCATGTGATCTATGTAGACCACATTTGCTACTTGTCTAAGAGCCACATCCTTCACAGCTCACAAGAAACATCCTTCTTCTATGACATTTTCCTAACTCTATGCTAACCACATCATCCCAACCACCAGATGTTATTTCTCCTTGTCCCTAACTATTACAGACTTAATTTTAGCACGTGTATGCCTTTTGGTACTTCAGTAGTTATCTGCTTTAATATATCTACTGGATTGTAGCAGCTCAGGAGCGGGCTCAGTCATTAGCTCTTTGTCTAGGACAGACATACTCCATGCCATAATTGAGCACAGAATGAGTCTTTAAGGAACTGAAGAAATTATCGTTACACAGGAGTAGTCTCTTGCCTTGACCTCAAGGAGGAGGAAGCAAGAAGGGGAAATGTTTCTCAGTTGAGAGTCAGCATGGAATTTCTCAGAGAAACAATGAGAGAAAAAAAAATACTATTCCTAATCCATAAGACAGCTGCTGATATATTTTATTCCTTTGTCAGCTAAAAAAATAATTTATTCATAATCCAGTAGCTTGTTTTTTACATAACAAGAATGTGCTTGGAATTCCCAAGAAACCTACTTCCAAAATCAATTTTGGAGTATAAAGCCTAAATCAGTTGCTGTTGTGTTGACTCTGATGACAGCGAGCCTGTGTATGTTGCAACAGAACTGCACTTCATAGCAGTGCGTGATTGTGAGCTTTTAGTTGACTGCCAGACCTTTCTTCCAAAGCATCTCTGGACGGACTGAGTAGTAGCTGGGTGCCTAAACTTTACACCACAAAGGAACTACCTCGGAGTAAATTCACAGACTTGTAAACAAGAGATATTTTCCTTTGTTGTTGTTCTGTACCATATAGTCAAAACCAGCCTATAGCAGTCCCTCTAGCGAGTTTTCAGAGGCAGTTAATTGCACAGGAGATTGCTTGCCCTTTTCCTGTGGAGCAGCTGGTGGCCTCGAACTATGTGCCTTCAGGATTGCAATGCAGCTTCATGCCACTAGGACAATATATACCACATTTGCTTATGTTGGCCTTAAACCTCTTGTGAAACAAAATACTGTTAATGATAATAGACACGTGATAAAAGACAGAGGAAGAAGGAAAAGTGGATGTTCTAAACATACCTGAAAAACTTCTGAAATGTAAACTTCAGAAGGGAAGTACTTTTTATTGAGACAAAACAAAATGTTTCCTTCTTCCTTATGACTTTCCTACAGTATTTTTATCAGATTCTAATTTTATCAGGGAACTCAAACTTTAAAGTGACAAAGGAAAAGGTTTCTACTTCATTTCTCATGCAAGTCTTTAATATTTACAGTCACTGTGCAGTTAGATAGCCCCCACTTGTGTTCAAACATATACAAGAGTGTGTATTTATGGACAAACTCCTTTCTGTGCTTAAAATGACACACTGCTTTACTTTGAGATAATTCCTGTCTTTCTGAGAAATACTGTGAAGGTTTCTCTAGCAGATTTTGATTGGGAAGGAAGAGCAGTTAGGATAATTCTTAAAAGGGTGGGCTCAATTTACCTAGATATATATACAAGTATTGCATATTCATTTGAGGGAGCTCTGGTGGCATAGACTAAAGAGAGTTGTGCTGCCAACACAAAGGCTGAGCTTCTCTGATGGTTTGCATCCACCAGCTGCCCCGTGGGAGAAAGACAGTCTCCTTCCATGTGATTTACAGCTTTGGAAAGCTGCTGGATGGATAGGCAGCTATGATTTGATAACTTGATAGCAAAGAAAGAGAGCACGAGAGAGATTTATTTGATAAGTATCTACTGAGCACTGTGTTAAGCATACAGAGGTGAAGGAGACAGGAGTATGAGGTCCCTGTTCTTAATGCCCACAGGCTGAACCAGAGCCCATATACACATTTTACCAGAGAAAATAAATACATCCTTGGGGGGGTGTGTGTGTGCTGCACTTAACTACAAACCTAAAGGTTAATGATTTGAATCTAGCTAGTGGTATTGTAGCAGGAAGGCCAACCAATCTGCTTTCATAAAATTAATAGTCAAAAAAACCTAATATGGAAAGTATAGGGCTATCATATATTGACAGGACAATAGCAAGTTGGAAGGAAATGAGTAGTAAACAAACAAATGTACAAGATAATTACAGATTGCAGTAATCCCTGTGCAGGAGAAAAACAAAAAATAAACAAGAGACAGGGAGGCTATATAATAGTCAGGAAAGGATTCTCGGATACATTTAAACTAAAATGAAAAAGACAAGGACTCAGCTACAATGCATTCTGGGGGAAGCCATCTAGGCAGAAGGAAGTAGAAACAGTCCTTTTGAAGAGTGTCAGAGGCAGAAGGGCCAATTGTGTTTTTTAACTGTGAGCCATGTTTATGGGTTAAAAGGCCAATTTTATAGGTCTTCACATGTTTTAAAAACAGAAGTTAAATAGGGAAAAAAATCAGAGAGGGTCTCATGCTTTCAGAATAAGGACTCTTTCATGAACTTTTACTTCAGTTGTATGTGTGTGTGCACGCACATGTGTATATGTTTCTGACTGTGAGCATGGCCACATTGAAGGCCTCTGTGTGAGACTGTATTTAGCAAGGAGAGCTAGACAGTGGGTAAGGGTACAGAAGAAGAACTGATGGCTTTGAGCTATGGTGTTGGAGAATAATACTAAACATCTCATGGACTGCCAAAAGAACACACAAATATATCTTGGAGGAAGTGCAACCAAAGTGCTCCTTGAAGACAAAAATGATGAAACTCGACCTTACATACTTTGGGCATGTTGCCTTGGAAAGGGACATTATGCTTGGAAAGATGGAGCATTTGCAAAAAAAGAAGACGACCTCCAATAAGATGGATTGAGTGTGTCAGAGATTATGAGGATGGCACAAGATAGGACAGGGTTCAGGTTGTCCAGGTCTGTTGTTCATAGGATTGCTATGAGTCCTACTCAACTCAGCAGCACCTAACAACAACAACAAAGACGAGGATGGAGAGGTGGGCAAAAGCAAGATCAGGCATCCAGAAACAACTGGGATTTTATTAAAAATGTAGTGGGAAGGCACTGGAGGCTGCTTGAGCTGGGGAGTGACATGACCTAATCTGACATCACAGTGCTGCCCTAGGGTTGACTATAGTGACAATCAGATGTTCTGAGCTGTGGCCCTGGCTTACAGCAATTTGGGACAAATCACTTAAACTCTCTAGACCTCACTTGCTTCACTGTAAAATTATTGGACCAAGTTCTTGTCTACTGCCACATTCCCATGATTTTGTTGGGTTTTCCCCCCCCTTAGGCATAGTTAAACAAGTAAACTAGTGGCATGAGGTCAATTTCTAGGTGTCTTCTTAAAATATCATAAATGCTTACAGTTCATATAAGAGTACAAGCAATTTTCGAATTCTTTCTTTACTAGAACCAGCTACATAATTAGATTAAATGGCTGAGTTAAAAGTGTATCATGTGCTTCTGTCAACTCACTGGTGCAGCCTCTGGGTGTGAAGGAGGCATGAAAAGGTTTCCTAAGCACACTACTGCAGATTTCCAGACTTGTTCTGGGACATCTGGTGACCTATAAGCCATTGCTGTTAGGTGTTATTGAATTGCTTCCAACCTCACAGCAACTCCTTCTGACTACACTGCCCCTCAGGGTTTTCTTGGCACTATTCTTTACATAGCAGATCGCCAGATCTTTTTCCCTTGGAGCTGCTGGGTGGGTTAGCATGCTCAATCTTTTGGTTTGCAACTGAGTCCTTAGGGCTCCTAACCTATCTAAAGGAATCTAAACTTGCCAGGAACTTTCTGGACACTAATGTTAAGATATTAACTCAGTAACTAAACTCATTCGAGTCAAAAGATTCACTTTAAATCTATCACATGCAAAACCATTAGATAGCTACATACAAGCTTTAATTGTCCTACTGTATCATTCCCATTTAACTAATAGGGAAACCAGGGGCAAAGAACACACAAGTAAACTTTTTTGTGGGAGAGTAGGGATTAAAAACAACCAACCAGTTGCTATTGAGTGGTTTCTGAATCATAATGAGCCCCAGGGATTTCAGGGTAGACCTGTGTTCCATATGGCTTTCAGTGGCTGAGATATTGGGGAAATTAGACAGCTAGGCTTTCCTTCCAAGATGCCTCTGGGTGAATTCAAATCACTTTTCAGTGACAGTCAAAGGCTTAATACTTTATGCTATCCAGGGACTCCCTGAGGTGAGGATTAGAATCATCCTTAAACTGGGCAACATGGACATTGTGTCTTAATTCCAACTGTACAAATAATTATCTTGGCTTTTTTTTTTAAGTTACTGTATATAAGTGTTCCATTGTTATCTAAGTGCCTCACAACATAAATATCAGTGACATCTGGCACAAAATATTCAACAAATAATTCTGGATTTGCAGATGCCTTGCTCGGGTACAGTGTATAAGATGAAAAGATGGGTTGTTGCAACACTGTGGGGCCTACTCTGTGGGTTGCATGCTGGATTGCATAAAGTGGAATTAGGCAAAATAGCAAAGGAATTTGCACCTCCTGTTATGTCCACTTCAAGAGTTTCTGTCAGGTTCCAGGTTCATTTTCTGGCAGGCTGTTTGTTGGTGAAAGACCAGCAGAGGATTCTTGGGATGGGCAGTTCACCTGTGCCCTGGGCCTAACAAGTGTTCCTGCAAGTTCCATAGACAAACGGAGATACTAGAAACTAGCTGATTTCCAACTTGCATTAAACCTTTAAAAGAAATAATGAGTGCGCTACCTGTCCAAATACAGCTGCATGCAAGACGTAAGAATCTCAGAAACATGCAAGGCATTGTCCTTGTGAGGTTTGCAGAAGTCCCCAATGCCGCCCGGAAACACCCACAAACATCTCTGCAAAGTTGGAGACGTCAGTGCGCACTAGTTTCAACGCTGAGAATCATGTACTCACCTGTCAAGTATTCAGTTTCGAATCTCCGTCGGGTATCTGCGATGAGCTTGGCTTTAGCCTGGGCCTGACTCTAGAAGGGAGACAGGACCAGATCCTTAGACACCACACACGCCATCACTCTTCCCCAGAGCCCAGCCCACCTGTCACCGAACACCTGGCCCTGGGGAAGTCAAAGAGGCCTCCGGAGCTGGAGGGAGGAAGTTCGCAGCCGTGGGGCCGGCTCCTCACCTCGGTCATGGTCGCGGTCATTATAGCGATCACCGATGCAGACGCCGCCGCCCGAGTCTCTCATCACCAGCCAGGCGGGCCCAGGGAATAGGCAGCAGGGGGCGGGAGTGGGAGGTGGTCGCGTGACAACCAAAGACGAACAGAGTAGCCGCCACGCCACCCAATCCAATACTGTCATCTAGGTCAGGGGCGGGATCAAACTGTCAGCCTGGAGTCCCATTTGCTGCTCAATTTAGCCCCACCCCTGACGTTCCTCACACAGACAGCCCCGCCCCCGTCATTGGCCCGGCTGCCGGGCTGCGGGTGCTTTCTGCGCACAGCCGGCGCTGCAGTTTCACAACACTCTCTGGAGGCCCCGCCTCCTCGCTCTCCCTAGCAACGGTCTCCTGGCAGGCTTGGCTAACTCAGGTCTCGCTCCACGTGACCCAGCTTCCGGCGCACATATCCCAGGATGCAGCGCACTGGCGGGAGGTTCGGAGTGTTTCCCTACGTCGCCTGAGTGGGCGCGAAAAATGTGTGGGCTCGGTGGCGTGGGAACAAGGCGCTGAGGTAGGGCCCCAGCGTCTTTCCTTTTCTGCCTTCGCAGAGAATGAGTTTATTTTCTTCTTTGGTGTCGGCGAGAAAGCAGGAGGGGAACGGGGGTCTCGGGACCGGGTTCCTGCCTTAGTGGAACGCGGCTGTGACCTAGGACACTGGCGTCAGAAGGGCCGTATCCTAGGACTTTGTGAGCTCTCAAGACCTAGCTGTACAGTCCGCAATTCCGTTCCTAGTTTGGTACCTTGACAGATTCCTAGCTGTGGAGGTTTTGTGAGGGTCATATCCTGCAGGGTCCCTCGGCCTCTTATGGCCTTGGGTTCTTTTCCTAAGGATCCCGTCTGGCTTTCATCTCCTCAGAGTTCCTTTGCGACATTTAGGGGAATGCCCTTACGGGGACAGGATTGCAGAAAACGTTTTCTCTACTATGCCTGTCAATCTGTAATATGATAACTTGATTGGAAAGGCTTTCTTTTGATTGAAATAAACTGCACTTGGAGTGGGAGTTACTTGTCAGGGAAAATGACTTTGAAATCTTTAAAGCACGAATATAGGATTAAATAAAGATGAAAAGGATCTTAAATCAGGGGCAGTTGTATCCTGTACCCAGAAGATATTATATCAATTTTAGGGACATTTTTGGTTTTCACAGTTTGAGGAGAGGGTGCTACTGGCATCTAAGGTGTAGAAGAATGCTGTTAAACAGCCTACAGGATAGCCCCTCCCACCATAAAAAAATTCTAAAGCCCAAGAGATTAGGTTAACAATAGTGTCAAGTTTAGGAAACCTGAGATAGATTTTCAAAGTACTAGAGCAAATTTTCCAGCGCTCTGGTGGCCCATTTTGGTGGCAGTGGAGTTGCATTGCTAACTGTAGGCTGTGCATTTATGGTAATTCGAATCCACCAGTGTCTGTTCGCTTGCATTTTACTGCCTCAGAAATCCAGTGCAGAGTCAGCTGTGTGTGGTTCCAATTCCACCACCATGAGTGTGGAGCAAATTTTAAAGAGTGCTGGTGGTACAGTGGTTACAGTGCTTGCCTGCTAGCCATAAAGTGGACTAATGAGGTGTTGCTGGCTAGGAAAAATCCTAGCAGTTGGCTCCTGTGAAGATTACAGCTGAGGAAGCTCTTTGGAGCATTTATTCTGTCATATAGGGTCATAATTACCCCACAAATACTATGTAGGGGGGAAGTACACACATGGTTTAAAAATTATTTTAAGGGGAGCTCTGGTGGCCTAGTGATAAGGAGCTGCAACTACAATCCCAGAGGCGCATGGTTCAAATCCACCAGATGCTCTGCCGGGGAAGGAGGAGCAGTCTCCACCTGTACCAGTCAGATCTGATTTGACGGTACACACACACAAAAATAATAAAATAAAAAAATTATTTTAGTGCTGCTTGCATTGAAAAACAAGGAACTCATGAAATATTATGCAAAATGGATGACTCTGGAGGACATTATGTTGAGTGAAATATCTCAATCACAAAGGACAAATACTGCATAATGGCACTGTTATAAAACAGGACTGACATCAGATTTGGGGGGAAACTAAGAAAATAGCGAATAAATAATGTACACTGCATGACGTGGTAAGACAGATAAGTGTAAGAACTGCTCAGAAGGAATATATGATTAGGTATTATTTGTATGGCAAGAGTCCAGAATAAGAACTCCATAGTAAAGTGGACTGAGATTGTGTAACAATGAAAGAATTTATTTTCTTCTCAAAGACAAAAGCAAACTGGTGCGGAGGGCAGGGAGGAAACAGGTCAGGGAGGAAAATGTGCAACAATAAATGAATGGAAATTTTTAAAACGTGCCAATAAATTTCAGTGTTTCAGTTAAAAAATATTTTAATGCTGCTTTAAGTTTTAACAAAAGATAACATTTCAGATGTTTTTGTCATTAGGTGCCTTTGAGTAGACTATGACTCATTAGTGACTCTCTGACCCATAAATTGAAACTCTGCACTATCCTATGCCATTCACATCATGCTCAAGCCCTTTATTCTAGTCACTGTCAGTCCATCTTGTTGAGGGTTGTCTTCTTTTTTACAGACCTCTCCCAGCATGATGTGTTTTTTCCGAGACTAGCTCTTCCTGATTACATGCCTGAAGTATGTGAGTTGAAGTTTTATCATTCTTGCTTCTAATGAGCACACTGGTTGCACAGATGTGTTTTTTTCTTTTGACAGTTCCTTGCTATAGTAATTACTCTTTACCAGCATCACAGTTTAAAGACATCCATTCTTCTTTGTTATTTCATTGTCCAATTTTCAGACGCATAGGAAGCTTCCTGAATCAGGAACACCTAAGTTTTTAAGCTGATATCCTTCTTAAATATTCCTGACAGTTTTACAGCCTCTTAGAATTAGTCCTCACAGAAACTGCTGGCTTGTTCCATCCAAACTGTATCGTAACTTTCAAAGTACCAAAGTCATCATCATGTTGTGCAAAACAGTGTATTTATTACTTAGACATTCTGGTAAGAAATAAGACTTTTCGTCTCTTAAAAAAATTTATATCCTTGCTCTTTAGTACTTTAAAGAGATCCTTGACAGCAGATTTGTCCAGTGTAACATGTCTTTTGATTTCTTGACTATTTGTTGATTGTTGCATTCAAGCTGCATGCAAGATGTGATTGTGGATCCAAATAAAATGAAGTTTTTTGATGTTGACATTGAAGGCTATACTCTTTAATCTTCTTCTGTGCTGCTGCTTCCTTTCCTGCAAGAAAAAGATTGTGTCATCTGTATAGATTGTTGATGAGATGTTCTCTAATCCTGATGCTATATGGTTCATGGAATATTGCTTCTTAGATGATTTGCTCAAGGTACAGATTGAATAAGTATAGAGAAAAGATGCAACTCTGATGCACATCTTTCATGATTTTAAACCAGTGTGCATCACCTTACTCTGTTTGATGGACGGTTTCTTGGCCTCTGTACAGGTTTAGGTGAGCACACAAGTAAGTGTTCTTCATTTCCTGTTCTTCTCAATGTTATCCATAATTTATTAGATCCACACAGTCAAAGACCTATAGTTAAAGTCTTCCTCTGCCTGGACTCCCCTATCTTCTTGAAAATCAGTAGTAGTCATTAGAAATTTTTCATTAATTTTGCCTGCTACTTCTTAAACTCTGTGCCTCCCTGTCCTGTCCTCATCCATAAACTGGGATAATTTTATAAAGATGTTACAATGAATCTAGTTTGTTTAGAATGGTATCCAGCACTGAAAAAGCTATCATTTTAGGTAAGCAAAATATTCAGTATTTTATGTATTTTTCTCTATGTTAGATGCTGTCAAGTTGAGTATGACCCAGGGACTATGTGAACAACAGATCTGAACTTTGTCCTGTCTTGTGCCATCCTCATCATCATCTCTGACATACTGGAGCCCATTGCCCCGGTCATTGTGTCAACAACTTGTTGAAGCTCTTCCTCTATTTCACCAGCTCTCCACCTTTATAAGTAAGCATGCTTCCTCTCTTCAAGGTATAGCCTCTCCTAGCAAAACGCCCAAGTATGTGAGGTGAGTTTTATCATCTTTACCTCCAAGGAGCACTCTGACTGTACCTTCTCTAAAACATGTGTTCTTTTGACAGTCCTTTGGATGTTCAGTACTCTTCTCCTCCACCACTACAGTTCAAAGGCATTAGTTATTTTGTCATCCTTATTCATTGTCCAGCTCTCAGCAGCATAGCAAGTGATTGAAAAGAACATGGCCTGAGTCAAGCATACCTTAGTCTTCAAACTGACATTGTTACTCCTCAGTAATTTGAAGAGGTCCCTGACTGCAGACTTTCCCAGTGCAGTATGTCTTCTGATTTCCTGACTGCTGATACCAAGTGTGTTGATTCTGGATCCAAGTAAGATGAAATCACTGACAGTTTCAGTCTTTTGTCCATCGGTCATGATGCTGCCTGTTGGTTCAGTGGTGATAATTTTTTTCTTGACATTGATATGTAATCCATATTGAAGAATATGATATTGATCCTCTACAACAAGTGCTTCAAGTCCTCCTCCCTTTCAGATTATGAGACTGATGCACTGCTTATTGTGCTAAGGCACCTCCTCCTCCCTTTCAGCAAGCAGGGTTGTGTCATCTGTATAATGCAGGTTGTTGATGAGCCTTCGTTTGATCCTGATGCCACATTTTTCTTCATAGAGTTCAACTTCCCCAGGGATTTGCTTGGCATTACAGATTGAATAGGTATGGAGAATAGTATACAACCCTGACACACTCCTTTCCCAGTTTTAAATCCTGTAGTGTTCCCTTGCTGTGTTCAGAAACAACTTCT